TCAACTAACAAATTATGTATATGAAATCATCCTATATTCATTGCAGCTCTTAAGTAACTGTATCGCCATATTAAACTATGTTCTAACTTATTTTCAAAAATGAATTCCAGGTACATGTCGTGTATTGAGTATCAGCAAGCATTAATTATTTATGACATTTAGACAAGTTCACTTTATTATTTGCAGGAATAACTATATTTCTCTGCCACAAGAGTGGTTTATGTAGATATACTTTAAACAAAATAGACCCCATGAAGCTCATGACTAGTATTCATACTTCTGGTGGTAAAAAGATGGAATTATGTGTACACAACCTGAACAGCGCTCACACAATATCCTGCTATTGTATAACCATTTTATTTCTGAATAGTGAAATAACTCTATTCGTGAACAGTCTACTATCATACTCCTACACTACATCGTATAACAAAAGTCCTAAACCAATTACGACGATATTCCTGATCAGTGTATTCACCGTGTTCCTGAAAAATGTACCTATCTTAGTAGTGTGCAATTTGTCCACAATATATGTTACCAAACCGTATACCCATATTGTATGCTCAGTAAACAGTAACAGTAAACTATTTTCGGTTCGTGTTGGGAAACCGGTGGACAGGACACATAAGAGTCTATACCAGTCTCATCACGGTGCATTTTTTCAATGAGTTCATCCATTGTTGCAATGGGTGAAACCCGCCACCTGATTGTTAGTGATACGCGACAATGCACAGGTTTCCAAAGATGTTTTGTCCCAAATCTTTTAGAAGTTTAATTTGTTTTCTATTTGCCAGAAACAATAATTATTTTGTTTTTGTTGATCACGTTATTTCTTTTTTGTAAATTTTCAGTAATGTTAGAAACAATGGCCAAGAAGTTTTTCATATAAGATTTTTTCTTCAATTCTTGCACTATATAGTTGTTTTTTGTGTGTGTTGGTAAATAAATGGTTCATCTGACGGTGAACAATTGGAACAATTTTCGTCAGAGGGTTGGTTCCAGTCGAAAAGCAGTATAAATTGATTGTTGATGCTGTTTGGTTTGATTGTTCATGTTGATTATATCCAGTATTTAAGTTCAGGTGCCGATTGAAAATAATCCCAGGTGACGAGAAACTAATTTGCTGAGACTTGACCTTGTTTAAAGAACGCCCTCTTTATGGCATTAAATGGCTTTCGTTTGAAGGATCATCAAATCACTGTACTGTAAGTTAATAGCGCCATCATCGACGATTCTTGTACAGACTCATTTTTGAACTGTTGTGCCCCATGAAACAGAATATCAATATTTTCAGATATCTTTGTGCCAAATATTTGTGTTCCAGTGACGGAAAAAACTAGAAGTGTAATTGCTCTGACCAAGACTACATTTACCTGAGAATCTAATTCATTTAATGATAGTTGTATATTATTACGGTCATATAGAAAAGAAACAATTTGCATTACACAGTGTAGTTTCGCGGTGTATTTCTAATATTTGGGTTATTTGCTAGTTAACTTGAGTTCTTGACTTGAGTACATTTGCATACACGCTAGCAATGCAAATGTGGATAACTGAATGCATTTTACGTGTTAGTGTGAAAGTCTGGGTAATGCTGTATGCTGTATGAAACTGATATCTGTACAGTTGAGAGAAATTGATCAAATCACTATGTTGTTTGCTGAAACGTTGATTTGTGACGTTTTTATCACTGGTATAAACATTGTAGTGTTAATATCATGTGTTTGTCTCGCATCAAGTGATGTTATATAGAATGGTGACGATGACAACTGCTGGTCCGCTGTGTTGTTCGTGTACTCAGAGCTTGTTACGCAACCATCGGTTTTCCACGTATATAAGTGGATTTGTTGCGTATTGATCTGGGTAAAAATCAATTTAAAGAACAGCATTTTCATTTACTGTTTATGTTTGAGAATTAAAAACAAACATGTTATAGTGCATTTGTATACAATATACCGAAATTCATGTTTCAGATATAGCAAAGAGATATAGCTCTTTATACATTTTATTCGTGTGAATTATTCGATTTTTCAATTGCAAAATACAAATTTTACAACAGTGTCATGTACTTTAAGCTCATTCTTGTGACCCCGGAACAAACTTTGGAAATGATAGTTTTTTTATCTATTGCGGTCAATACACCCATATGGACACAGAGTAAATTATAATAAAACTAGACATAAAGGAGATATTGATCTTCTACTGCAAACACAACAAGTTAATTGTTACTTTGAATAGCTTTGTCAGCTATGCCTGATATCTTGTTTCCATGGCAATTGCTACGTTTGCACGGTAGCATTCTATCGGAGCCGAACTACTGCGCCTCCCATCGATTAACACCGATTAATCTTCAGTGCCTTTACACGGGGCTAAACGAGACTAGATCTGCCCATGGAGGTAAAAACAAATGATCTGTCAGAGTCAGTTCAGTTCTACCACAGCCAAATGGTACATATAGCCCTCAAATACTTAGTATGCAAACAACATTTGGTGTTGTGCATGTGTTGTGGCATGGCACGATGTTATTGAGCTGGGAGAAGTCACAAGTATGAGACAATTATGATTTAGGTATCTCGAATAAACAGAATACACGCCAGCTGGAATACGATAAATACCATCTTGTAATTGTTCAACTGTTGTGATAAAGTTGTCAACTTAAACCTAGTAGGAACATGTTGCTGTACAGTGACCGCGATTTGTATCTTCGATGTCTTCAACAAGTTTCTTGAATTTCCATTTGATCTGTTCAATCGTCCTTTCGAGTTTTTTTCGCATAATTTCGTACGTCATTTTTCTGTTTCCTGTTGAACTATCAATCTGCCGCAGTGTTTGTTTACTCTGTCCTCAGACAACTACTTATTAGATGTCTGAGCTCTGTCAAATATATGTTAGGGCACGCACCTCTTCGTCAAGTTAGAAATTACGCAATATTGCAAACGACGCTGTCTCAGCCATAATTAGAATGAGAGGTTACTTGAGGAAGTCGACTGACGGCGTGATTTCGGCCCGATAGTTCGACCCCAATGCGTATACACGGTCGGAGCACTGTCGGGGCCTAACCCTGTCGGAGTTCAACCTGTGTGTTTATTGAAGCCGAATCTGTATATGTGTATTTTTGCTCGAGCCGTAGCCGTAGAGCTCCGATAAAATACTGTCATAACTCGGTGGCGGAATTAGTTTAGATAGTAGTTGACCATCATAAACTCTCGGGACGATGGCAGGAAACTGCACATTATTATTTTCCAATGC